TATTGCCTATGAATTAAAATGAAAATAAATCCGTAATTCAATATACATTTATCATTCAATTGTGTCCTAGCATGTAAATGACATTAATTACTTACCCCGAGCCTGATCACCACAAATCAAGCACTTTGCTGATATATCCTCAGCCATTTTTAAATAATTTCTTACACTTAATGCAAAATTTATTATAAAACAATTATTGTTTTATTGAAATTCTTAGTGCAAAATGTGATCATTTAGGAGCACCAGATAAAATGTTTTATATTAATCTTTAACAATTTCAGGACACAGATAAGAATATTTTATGATACTTTCTATTGATTTATGAAAATACATCATTCAAATTATATTCTCTAATATGTAGTATATCTAACTTTAATTATTATTAAATTGACTTTATAATCGAAAAATATGTACACAATTTTACTATCATTATTGACACAATTACCGTACATATCAAAGGCATAAGTTATATGAAAATAATTAGCGTTTAAAACAATTTATACATACAAGGTATGAATGAAATTTTCAGTTTACATCGATAATAATAAATAATTTTATTACGGTACATAAATAAAACATATAATTTATTACTATGGTAATTTTTAATTAATTAATGATAAATATTTAGTTGAGGACTAATATCATTGTGGACATTATAAATCTCATTGAGCAGTTCACCACAATCTACTATTTCAGTAGCTTTATGTTCGTAAACACATTGAATATGACTTAAATACAAATCATGCAAATACTTGATTGTTTTGATTAGTCGCAAGAATCGGGATTTGGATTCAACTTCTGAACGATATCTCAGTAATAAATAGCGTTTTAATAAATACATGTAAATGTATTGCTGAAACCTACAAAAATAAATCAATAGTAAGTAAATTGATTAACATTTTAAATACTTTTAACTTACTTCACAACCTCTTTATGTTGTAGTTTTGGTCGATTGGGACTGAATAGTACGATAGCTGTCATCTATAAAATGATTAAATTAGTTTTTATTTATATAATTAGTAAACTTTGTATTTATACCAAATCCAGAATATTCTGATCGGAGTCCCACTCATTGTAAAGCATATGATAATACTTAACGCTTGCGTTATATAAATACAACTTTCGTTCTTTGATTGCATCAAAATTAGCCACAACTGAGTTCATTGGATCCATCTATTATGATAAGAATTAATATTTATTATAGAAATTTCCTAGTTAATTAGCACAGATTATACGTGTAGACTCACAGTCGGTAAAGTTAAGGCTCTATTATGTGTATTATAGCCGACTATCGCCCGCATGAATACAATTTCAATGCAACCATATTTAATGTGCGATTTGATCGTTAAGACAATTGGTCCTGAATAGGGCCAGTCGTTTGGACATTGGGATCAACTTTGCGATCACTTGTTTCAAATTGACAGCAAATGCACACATCGTATCGTAATAAGTGTTGGTCTCGGAGGTGGCCATTCCGTTACGACACCTCAACATTTGCGACAGACTTAGGATTTCTGTCAGTCTATTGCCCTCCACTTCATTCAAGTTGTTGTTGTAATCAGTGATGGGTCTTATGATCGACATCACCGGTAGCTCAGAGGCTGACTCCTTGCCTATTGCACACACTTCTGGGCTATTATTTTGACAATTATTTAAACTAGGATTTGATATCATATCAGGAATTGTGTTTGAATGGACAGCCATTGGGACGGACACGCTATCAGGTGTTGATGTGGTCTTTATTTTGCTTTTGTTTTTCCTTTCGTTGACTTTCTTTAATTTTAACTTATTTTTCTCTTTTCGTAACTTTTTCTCGTAATCCGTTAAAATTAATTCCTAATATTATTTATTGTAATTAATTTTTAAGATTAATGCATCAAGGTATACAAACCTTTATCATTCCACTGGCAAAACATTTATCTAATCGACACTTTTGACAAAATTTTCTCGTCAATAAAGTTATATTACATTTACCCACAAATGGACACAATAGCGAGTCCTTTAATAAATTATAAAACAAATTCAATAAAGTTTTAACATTAAAAACATAATGATTTTAGTCTTTTCATACTTCTCTGAACGCATTTACATGAAACACAAGACAGGACATTGAAGTTATAGCCTATAATCATATAAAGTTTCGGTTTATATGTGCTTGGTACTGTATTAAATGTTATTATTAAATAGAATGTAAAGTACTGTATTAAGTATTAAATAAGCCAAATAGTGAAATTAATAAAACCTTATTTTGTACTTACCTTTAGCCCTATCGTTACAAATAACACATTTAGTATGAGATAATGTATCCATACTTTAATTATATGCAATATATATTATATATTATAACATAATATAATATTATGTTCAATATATTCTGTAAAACTAAAAAATATGTTTTAATGAATATCTTTTTAGTATTTGTATACAAAATATTTTATTTTATTTTCATGAACATTATCATTGAGGTATCAGTTTCTAAGGAAACTAATATTATCATAAAGAATATGTTGCCAATACCATAAGTATATAATCATTCATTTGCACTTAATAATGTACCGTATGATTGTTTGTTCAAACAATATAATGTCAATTAATTAAAATAATTAAAACATGTTTTATATGTAATTAATAAATATAAAACTTGTGTTTATATTGTAAGATAGCTATGGGCAACTCAGATTATGTTAGTGGGAAAAGGTTTCGATATTTCCAGAAATTTTTGATAGTATTTCGGGAATATAAGAAATTCCATGTAAAGTCAAAATATGGTAAAATTGATAAATAAAAACAATTTTCTGGTCAGTTAGCGTTACCCAAGACACACCACGTGGAGGTCGACCAGAACGTGTCTCACCCTTTTTTGTTATGGAGGTTGTTCTTTCAGTCATTCCTCCAGTTCACTTATAAATCAATAGATTAATGGCTTTTATTATATCGGGGTTTTGTCATTATTAGTTCAATATTTGGTTTGATGTCTTTAGCGCTGAATATTCAAAGTCTCGCTTCAAGTAATTTATCTGAGATTTTATGCGTTTGTTTGGTCTTAATTAAATTCATGATAGAAAATAGTTGTTCACAATCATATGTTGTTGCAAAAAGGGTAATGATTTTTAAAGCATTTTGTGGGAGTCTAAGTGGGAGTCCATGGCAGAATTGATCATTTTCAAAGTTAAACTGTAAGCAGGCACGCGATATATTTTTAATTATTTTTGATATTATTGAAATATAGTATCCCCTCTAACATACTCACTTCTCCTTATAATTGTAACATTAGTAATCTTTGCGCTGACTATGGGTCCAGCATATCATCCAATATCACAGAATATTCTTGATATCATATAGAATATTCTTGTTTATTCATGGCTACCTCATAATGAACTTTAAGTGTACCAGAGTATACATTTTGACTACATGTAATAAGCGAGTGCATCAAATGAATTGTCCACTGGTTTTACACGTATGGGTAGGACTCACGAGTTGTGGACAGCTATTGATAGCCAGACCGAGATGTTGAAAATATGGGCCTCAAAAGTAGAGGAGGGTGTCCACCAAGTGGTCAAATTGGGTCAACACTTGGGCTCATTTAATAATTTTTGTGAGGCCGACAAATTATCGCTACTAAAACACGGCTCCATTCATGTGATATACATGCGATTAATGACATGTTTTAATTGTGAACACAATTATTGGACTATTACTTCGGTATGTTTTGTTCATGAACATTTTCATCAAATGTTTAACTATTGTTAAGGCAAATATTAATTACAATTTCACTGACAGAACCATAAAAACACGGTTCTTAGTCTGGATTTATTGGAGTCCAAACTTTCAAAACCCGATCGCTACGAATTACAAAGGTCATTTTTGTGTACATTTCAATTTGACTGGGACTCCGATGTAGTTATCATGAATTTGGTAATTGATTTATAATGTTAATTAATTATAGTAATAATAAGTTTATGAATATATTTGACAGATGACGGCGATTATCTTTTTTAATCCCAATCACCCGAATCTCTATCATAGAGATGTTGTCGAGTATGTACTTATAAAACATATTATTAATATATATTGTATATAAATAATAATTTATATTTTAATGTCTACTCAGATTTGAACAGAGGATTTATATGCATTTACTTGAACGCTATTTATTATTAAAATATCGCTCGAAATCCGAATCAAACTTACGATTCTTGAGATGTCTCAATAGTATTACACTTTTGGACAGTATTTTGAGTGTAAAGGAAGCCATCAAAAAGGGTTTGGATAAAAGATCACTGAAAATGCCACCAATTATTGAGGAGATATACGATTGGGATCATGATGAACCTGTTCATATTTAGATTATTTAATAAATATACATGTATAAACTGTTTTTTGTCCCAATGTTATTTAATGTCATAAATAATTCATTTACTTAATAAAATAAATTATAAATAAATGTTTGATTAATTTTAACGTTTATTGTTTTGATATTGCAAATAAACACATTTGAATAGTTGTGAATGAAAAACTCACGTAGTTTTCAAATTAGTTAATTTATCCATTAAAAAATAAGTTAAATTTACGTCAAAACACATTTGTAATATAATCCATAATTAATTAATGTTAATATATACAATTAAAAGTGACAATAATGCTATTAATAAATGTAATCGTTTCTAACAGGTTCTAAAATTTAGATAAATTTAACCTTACACAACGTAAAACACATGCCTGCTACTTAAAAATAGCGGTTAAAAAATGTTTAATGAGTAAAATTATAAAAATAAAATTTATAATAGATATATTTGTTGTTGCTATTGTCAAATATAGACATGGAAACTAAGTTCGTATAAAATCGTTTATTCCAAAACAATAAAAATTAAAATTAATCTAAAAATATACTTTCTTTCTAATTTCAATGTCTTTCAGTTCTCCAATGGAAAGACACTAATTAGATTTACTCTATGATTCTTAGTAGAGTCATAATAAACACCTACCGTTCCTCCCGGTGCCGTTAAGAAAATTTTTAAAAAAATTACAAATTGGTAGAGGATTAGATTGCCTACATTTTCCATATCATAACTTTTTAATATTCCTATAATTGTATTTTTTAAAATTGTTTAAATATCAAATTAAACAAGATACCCGGCCTCCCTGTGCAAAAACTATTATGTTGTGAACAAATTCATTAACACCATGTATTCCTAGTTTTTAACGCTCTTTCTAACGGTGTACTAAAATTCAACCTAGGACATATAGTTTGTGTGCTAGAACACTTACCTAAAAAGCTACCAGTCCCCTGCAGTTAAGTGTCTTTCCATTGGAGAACTGAAAGACATTGAAATTAGAAAGAAAGTATATTTTTAGATTAATTTTAATTTTTATTGTTTAGGAACAAACGATTTTATACGAACTTAGTTTCCAAGTCTATACTACAGGAAATCCGAAATTATAATCATAACAAATTATTTTGCGATTACATAAACAATATTTTGAATAATACGGTACAGTGCAATTTGCACTAAACATTTTCGTATAAAAAGCATTGCAATTTATACATAAGAGCATCTGGTTCATCTCGTGTAATCTCAATAAGAACTTCTCAGAATTATATTGCTGATAATTTAAATATCAAGTATAACTTGTTGTTATAAATTTATAATATAGCTTAATTCTTGATAATTAATATATTATTAAAAGTTATACAAAAGCGACAGCGAAGTCCTTAAATGCTGAATACTGTTAAATGTTGTCTTAGAAACATGTGATTATTAATACAATTTGAGATAACTATTGATCTATGTTATTTTTAAGGGTTATAAAAATAAACATAGAATCTGTTTTCGATTCTACTGTTTATCGAGATAAACTTTTAAGTTATATAAACTTATATAAAAGAGTTTTGAATTTATTATTTGAACTTCACTAGCATTTATTGCTAGAAATGGATTCAAAATGTGCCGTTTGCAATGATAAAGCCAGTGGTATTAATTTTTATACCAGAATAATATTCTATGCATAATAAATTATTATTAATAATTATGAAATTTATTTTGTTTAGGCAATAACTATTCCGTATTAACGTGTGTGTCATGTAAAACATTTTTCCGGAGATATGCCTTAACTCATAAATTAAGTGTTACTTATATTTTCTATATTACCTTCATTATTTAATTAATTTTAAAACTTTTATTTTAAATTATAGGACTTTAAATGTTATTTCAATAAAACATGTATAATCGATAAGACAAATCGAAAATATTGTCAAAGATGTCGAATAGATAAGTGTTTTATGGTTGGCATGAAAAAGGTA